CCACCAGGTGTCCATTAGGGAGCAAAGAAGCCCACAGCCAGGAGAGGGGACCTCTTGTCTGTTCAGTTCAGTTCAGTTCAGTCGCTCAGTCATGTCTGACTCTTTGCAACCCCATTGACCACAGCACGCCAGGCAGGCCTGCCTGTCCATCACCAACTCCCAGAGTTTACTCTAACTCATGTCCATTCAGTCGGTGATGCCATCCAACCATCTCATCCTCTGTCGTCTCCTTCTCTTCCTGCCTTCACTCTTTCCCAGCATCAGGGTCTTTTCAAATGAGTCAGCTCTTCTCATCAGGTGGCCAAAGTATTGGAGTTTCAGCTTCAACATCAGTCCTTCCAATGAACGACTTGTCCCTCTTGTCTGTAAAGATCAGTTGATGTGCAACCCCACGTGTATAAGTTCCCAAGTTCCTGCCCCAGTCCCTGTGACCCATTTCCTGTCATGCTGGGGGCCTGGGACGGTCCTTTCCCCTCCCAAGAGCTGCTGTGACTCTGTAGGGAGCTCTTTCTCTCGTGCCCTCTCCTGTCCCTCCCTGGGAGCTGCTTCCCCCTGAGTGAGAGTGGAGTATGTCATCAATCCTACTGTCGTGGTCTGCAAGGTTTCTTTGGACGAATCTGCTGATCTCCTTAGGGGAGTTCTCTTGCGTGACAGAATTTTTTTTTCTCTTTAGACCTTAGAGATTTCTCTCTTTGCACTTAGTTTATTCTGTGAGTCTTGGAGAACGTTCTTTTGGATTGAAGTTTTGGGGTGACTTATTAGCTTCTTGAACTTAGATGTCCAGATCTTTCCCCAGGTTTGGAAATTTGCTGGCTTTCTTTCTTTCTTTTTTAATTATTTGTTTTTGGCTGTGCTAGGTCTCCCTGTTGCATGCAGGCTTTCTCAAGTTGCAGTAAGCAGGGGATACTCTTTGCTGCAGTGCACAGGCTTCTCACTGCAGTGGCTTCTCTTGCTATAGACCACAGGTTCTAGGTCCATAGGTTTCAGTAGCTGTGGCTCACTGGCTTAGTTGCTCTGCAGCATGTGGAATCTTCTTGGACCAGGGATTGAACTCATGTCCCCTGCATTGGCAGGTGGATTCTTAACCACTACACCACCAGAGAAATCCTCAGCCCTTAGTTCTTTTCTCCTTCACTTCTTCTGCTGTGACTCCGGTCCATATGTTGTTTCTCTTTATGGTGTCCTTAGTTCTCACTGGCTTTCTATATTCCTTTCATTCTCTTTTGGCTCCTCTGTTTAGATTCAACTAATCTTTCTTCTAACACATTGATTCTTTCTTCTTTTTCTTTCCCTTCGTCAAGTCTGTTGTTGAATCTCTGTGTTGAATTCTTCAGTTTACTCATTGTATTGTCCATGTTAAGTTGCCTCAGTCATGGCTGACTCTTTGTGACCCTATGGACTCTAGCCTAGCAGGCTCCTCTGTCCATGGTATTCTCCAGGCAAGAATACTGAAGTGGGTTTCCATGCACTCCTCCAGGGGATCTTCCGGACTCAGGGATCGAACCCGAGGCTCTTACCTTTCCTGCACTTGCAGATAGGTTCTTTACCACTAGTGCCACCTGGGAAGCCCATCCATTTATTATTCAGCTTCAGAATATCTGGTTGAAGAATTGAAGAAGTGAAAGTCACTCAGTCATGTCTGACTCTTTGTGACCCCATGGATACACAGCCCATGGAATTCTCCAGGCCTTACTGGAGTGGGTAGTCTTTCCCTTCTCCAGGGGATCTTCCAAACTCAAGGATGGAACCCAGGTCTCCCACATTGTAGACTGATTCTTTAACAGCTGAGCCACAAGAGGAGACCAAGATACTGGAGTGGGTAGCCTATTCCTTCTCCAGCAGATATTCCTGACCCAGGAATTGAAGCAGGGTCTCCTGCATTGCAGGTGGATTCTCTACCAATTGAGCTATCGGGAAATCACAAAATATCTGGATAGTCATTTTTTTTAAAAAAATATTTTTTTTGCTCTTTTAAAAAATATGCTTTTTGGTCTTCTTATTTAATTTGTATCTTTTTCCTGGTATCATTAAATATTTGAGGTCTCTTGGAACTCTCTGAGCATCATTTGAAGCATTATTTTGAATTCTTTGTCAGGCAGTTCTTGGATCTCCATTACTTTGAGCAGGTTACAGGAGGTTTACTGTATTCTTTTGGTGGGGATTTGTTTCCCTGATTCTTCTTGATGTCTTATTCTCTTGTAGATGTCTGCACATTTAGAAAAGCAGTCACCTCTACCAGAAACTATGTCCTGATTTCAGTAGAGAAAGCCTTTCACTTCTGGGTAGCAGCACATTGGAATGTAATGCAGGGTGCCAAATGCAGAGGCATAAGTTAGTGGCACTGAGTCTGGGAGGGCATGAGATTGCTTTGGCTCAGGCTGCTGACATTCATAGCATTGATAACTGTGTGGTGTTTGGCAAGTGTTGCAGGGGGTCTTCCATCACTGGAATGGTTGTCGGTGTCCTCAGCAGCACATCTGGTTCCAGAGCCTAGGAATCATGACCAGCAATGGTGGTGGCCAGAGCTAATGGTGTGCACACCTTTGGATTTGGGGGCCTGTTGTAGGTGCCTCTGTGGGGGAGATGATGGTTGCAGGTGCTCATGTTGTGGGAAGGCCTAGGAAGGCAGCAAAGGCCAAGACCAACAACGGCTCATTGCTCAAACTCATGTCCATTGAGCTGTTGATGCTATCTAACCATCTCATCCTGTGCTTCCTTTTTCCCTTTTCCTTTTCCTTCAGTCTTTCTTAGCATCAGGTTCTTTTCCAATGAGTCAGCATTTTGCATCAGGTGGTCAAAGTATTGCAGCTTCAGCTTCAGCATCAGTCATTTAAATCAATATTCAGGGTTGATTCCTTTTAGGATTGACTGGTTTGATCTCCTTGCTGTCCAAAGAACTCTCAAGAGTCTTCTCTAGCACCACAGTTCGAAAGCATCCTTTCTTCTGTGCTCAGCCTTCTTTGTGGTCCAACTCTCACTCCCATATATGACTACTAGAAAACCATCATCTGTGCTGGTTATTAATTCTTTCAGGGGTAAAATCTGCTGTATCTGTCTGCAGAGCAGGTCACTGTGAACTGCGATTTCTCCGGCCATGTGGTTGCTATTGGTCCTTTGCTCTTCTTTCTTATACCTAGCCATCTCTATAAGACTGGTTCAACTTTGCAGGTCTGCGTGAAGTGAACCTGAAGCAGAACTTTCATATGGTGCCCCCAAAGGCTAGAGACACTGGTTATTCAGCCTGTTCTTACCCTCCTGTTAAGAGGAACTCTCCTGGCACCCTTGACACTGAGTGATGTTGGTTTGAAGGATGTAATGATGCCTCCAAAATGACAGTGTCTTGGCATGGTCAAACTTCTTAGAGTACTCCAGATCTTTCTTGAGCTGTTTTTATTACTGATCACTGTCTTACTTTTGGTCTCTTTTAAGAGGATGGAGGCTGCTGTCTCATACATCAGCATTTTGATAATGAGACGTTTGAGATCTTTATTCTTTGAGAGAGTATTTTTGAGTGTAGAATTTTAGATTGGCATTTTTTCTCTCTCAGTAAATCTAAGGCTTCAGTTTACTCTACCCTGGTACCTCTTTTTGGTCTTGGGGATTTAGATGTTAGTATAGATGTTTCTCAATTTTATATACGTTGTATGTATCTTAGTATTTTTCTCTTTGTCAATTTTTTTCTGTTATTTTTGATTTTAGTAAAAGTAAGCTACGTATATTATAGTAACAAAAACCCAAAATTTATCCTTATATGACATGTTTTGTTTACTTTGGCAGGACTTCTGCTATCATAATTCTTCAGACACTCAGGGTGTTGAATGCTCCACCATTTTATTATGTTCCAACTGCAACACAAGGCTTCAGTATTTGCTGTGGTAGAAAAACATATTGGCTCTTAAATGTTTCTATGTGGAAGTGACATCGTTTGTTCTCCCACTTCAATGAATGAGCCAGATAACATGGTTGCGCTTAACTTCAAACAGGCAAGGAAGTATTACTATTTCCATGTGCTCATAAAAAGAGAATTTTAAATGTTGCTGAACCAATCCATCCTAAAGGAAATCAGTCCTGAATAATCGTTGGAAGGACTGATGCTGAAGTTGAAACTCCAATACTTTTACCACCTGATTCGAAGAACTGACTCATTTGAAAAGACCCTGATGCTGGGAAAGATTAAAGGTGGGAGGACAAGGGGATGACAGAGGATGAGATGCTTGGATGGCATCATTGACTGAATGGATATGAGTTTGAGTAAACTCCAGGAGTTGGTGATGGATAGGGAGGCCTGGCGTACTGCAGTCCATGGGGTCTCAAAGAATCTAAAATGACTGAGCGACTGAACTGAACTGAACTAAACACTAGTAATGTCTCCATCTATGATGTTGTTACAGGAACTCATCTTTATATGCAGAAACCAGAGTCATTTTATAATTTAATCGCTAAAGTGACATCTGATCACTTTGTCAAATTCCATTTGTTAGATGCATGTTATTAGGTACATTCGAGTGCGGAATTACACAAGGACATGAACACTAGATGGCAGGAATAACCAGGACATTTTAGAGCTTGTTACCCCAGCCCTCTGTTCCTAAGCTGGATGAGGTGCTCCTTATAGAAAGTGAAGGATAAGGAGGATTCCTCCATGGATCCCGGGACGTGAGCTGTAACTGAGATGGGGAAGCTGGGCCTAGTAGCCTTGGGCACATCTACAGGGAGGGTAGCATCCAGAGTCTCTGACGGCCTGTCCTTAGTGGTGTCCCTGGAGCTGGTTCTACAGGCTCCTGAATAATACCTGGTACCTCCCTTCCTGCTCCGTGTTCAGTGATAGCACATTGGGAGCTTAAAGTTGGCCTTGGTGGGACTGTTTATACCACAGAGGTCAGGAAATACTATATCCCATGCACTTTTTTGCTCCTCAGAGAGCTAACATTATAAATACTTAGACCACTGCAAGTCTCCTAAAGTCTTTCTTGTGTCCTGTGTCTGTGTCTCTCTTGCAGCTCTGGAGGTGAGGCTGAAGGATGGAGCCAACCGCTGTGAGGGGAGAGTGGAAGTAAAGCATCAAGGAGAATGGGGCACAATGGATGATTTCTACTGGAGCTTGAAGGATGCATCTGTAGTGTGCAGACAGCTGGGGTGTGGAGCTGCTGTTGGTATTCCTAAAGAGGCTTATTTTAGACCAGGACTTGGCCCCATTTGGCTTTCGTATACTTCATGTGAAGGGGTAGAGTCAGCTGTCAGTGAGTGTAAGCATTCTAATATTAAAGACTATCGTAATTATAGCTATACCCACAACTGGGATGCTGGAGTAGTCTGCTCAGGTAAGTCCTGTCTGGTCTGTGTGGGGATCTCTAGCAGGAAAAGCTTCCATCTTATTACCAGAATGACTCGAGATTATGGATACAGCCTTTAGAATATACTTGGGTGAAGGGTCTTTGTTATGTGTCACAGGAGGCAGAGGTGAGGTCAAAAGTTTCATATAGATACAGCTTCTGTGTTCGACTTCTGTGACGGGGTCTCATCATGGTAATTGTTCTGTATTCTTTGACTCGTCGGTGGGGTGTGGCTACATTGTTGGGGACGGTTCACAGGAGAGTTGTAGGCAACAAGGTTTATCATACTCATAGGTCCTAAAAGTCAGAGTCACCATACTCCATCAGGTTGGTATGTGGGGGATGTGCCAATAGAACAGGCTCAACCAAGCAATGGTGACCCCAGAAGGGCCTGTGAAGACCTATGGACAAATGACAATACCAGATGTCATGGTGCACTTGCACAAGAAAAAGGTGTGAGAGAAATTCAGTGGTGCATTTTAATGTCTTTAGGTAACAGTCAGAGGAGGCCAGAAGTGGGACTTGTGGCAGGGATAATTCTCATCACACTGGTGCACTTGATCAACTGAGTGGGGAGCTAACATCATGCTGGTACCAGCCGGCAATGTGAACAGGTCTAGACTGCAGCAACACGGAAGCCTGAGAAAAAAGAGCTGAAAGTAAAGAATGGGGTCGAGAGGACTGAAATGCTCTTTAGGCAAGTCAGCGGTTTTATTGAGTAAAGCAGCTACCTTTATACTAGTACAAGCAGAAAACATAGTTCATAAAAAATGCCATCTGGTGTTTGTTACATCAATACAATTTTTTGTCTTAAGTGATTGCAGAAGCTTACATCTTGTTTTTGGCATTCCAAGATAAACTACTAAGTGAAAGTCACTACTACATTTTTCTCAAGGAAGAACAAAGGAGGCCCAGCAAATGTTTTACTACTTTATCATGGGGTGGCGGGACAGGGAACAGCCTCTTTCAAGGCTTTCCCAGGGCCTTTTTGGGCCTTGAGCAGGCCGGCTCCCCGCATCTCCCCCTTTTATTAAAAAGCCGAGCCTTCCTACTCATTCCTCGAGAAAAAGCAGACAAGGTTATTTTTTCAAAATATGGGAAAATTTTATAATCTTTTCAGTAACCAAATTCATAATGCATTGTAAAATACATGGTCCACAACAAAGAAAACATAGTACAATAGCAAGCACTATAAGCAGGTTTTTTCACCAATCACTCATAAACCAGGATATAACTTGCTCCCAAAAAGAAAGGGAGGAATCCTGCATGGAAAGTATTTGATGTTGAAGATCATTTACAGCATCAGACACATTGGAAGAATAATCTGGGATATACACACAACATTCTACTTTTATTACAGCGCATGCCAATGCAAGCACCAGGTAGGATAGAGAAATGTGTGGATTGATTGTATCCGCAGCAATGTGTCTTGCTCGTTCCATGAACTCATGTAGTTGTTGATTTGTTGGCAGAACATTCCTCTGTTGTATCTGTGTACTCTCCATTCGAGCAGTCAGTGACCGTCTCCGTCTGGCTGGTGTCTGGCGTACCAGCCTCTCCGGGAGCCAGTGTGGTACTTCGGCATCCTGTGGAAAAACACAAACATGTCCCCGTCCCCATATCAAAACAGGGTCAGGGCCATGCCATTGATTAGTAATTGGATCTTTCCAAGTTACGAAGGGTTTGTTAATAGCAGCTGGGGACCAGAATCGCTGTGCCGTGGTTTTGCCTTCAGAGTCCAAATTTAAAAAATTAAGAATGAAAAGGGCATGATGTAAGTAATTATATGGTGTGAGGGGATATAACTCCCCCTTCTTTAATTTTAAAAGCTGATGTTTTAATGTCTGATGAGCTTGTTCAACGATGCCTTGACCTTGGGGATTGTAGGGGATGCCTGTTTTAAGAGAGATGGAGAGATGGGAGCAAAAATTAAGAAAAGTGGCAGAAGTATATCCAGGTCCATTGTCCGTTTTGATGGTCTTTGTAGTTCCCATAACGGAGAATGCTGCAAGGCAATGTGCAATACAATGTCAAGCTGTTTCTCCTGTTTGTAAAGAGGCAAAAATATATCCAGAAAAAGTATCTATATTAACATGAACATATTTCAATTTACCAAAGGAAAGAACGTGAGTAACATCCATCTGCCATAAATGGTTGGGAAGGAGGCCGCGGGGGTTCACACCATAGTGAGGAACAGGAAGGAGCTGAGGACAAACAGGACAGCATTTAACTATTTGTCTGGCGGTTTCACGGGGTATTTTAAATTGTAATCTGAGGGTATTGCTGTTTTGATGATGTAATTGGTGAGAACATTCTGCGAGTTGGGTCTGTGAAAGGAAGATATGAGTGGCTGAATCAGCTAATGCATTTCCAGAGGCAAGTGCTCTAGGCAAACCCAAATAAGCGCAAATATGGCCAAAAAAGCATTTGTAAATCCTTTGATATAAAAGAGCTTGTATATCTCGAAACAGCTGCTGAATCACGGAATTGACAGTATGAATAAAGGAAACAGTTTCTAATTGGTTAAGAGCTCTAACAAAATGACTATCAGAAAAAACATTCAAAGGTTCAGAGGCAAAGTGTTGTACAACAGCAAACACGGCGCATAATTCTACTTCTTGTGCAGAGGAACAGCCTGTAAACCAGGAGGTAACATTATCATTAATAACATAAGCAGCCTTCCCGTTTGATGATCCATCAGTAAAAACGGTGACTGTGTCTTTAAGTGGCTGCGAAACAACTACGGAGGGAAACACCAAGTCATGTTGGCTAGCAAACTGTAGCAGCTTATTAGCAGGAAAATGATTTTCTAATCTGCCGGAAAAATGAGCTATGGCTGCATTCCAGGAATCACTGAACTGGAATAGCCAGTCCTGTTGTTCTTTTGTAAATGGTAAACAGATAAAGTAAGGGTCTCTCCCCGATAATTCTCTGGAATCTCCACGGCCCTTAGCGGTAAGATTACTGACTAGATCAAAATAAGGTGTGAGTACTCGAGCAGGGGAAACAGGCATATGTATCCAATAAAGAGGGGAATCTTGAAAAAGAACAGCTGTGGGGGTATGTTTAGAAGGAAGAATATACAAACCCCATTCTTTTGTATAATCACAATGAGAACTTGTTTGAGCAGCCAAAGCTTTTTCTACTATATTTAAAGCTTGGCGTCCTTCATCAGTCAAAACCCGAGGCGATGTAGGGTCTGAAGGTCTTTTAAGAATATCAAACAGGGGTTTTAATTCTCCAGTAATGATTTTCAAATAAGGACGAATCCAATTAATATCTCCTAATAATTTTTGAAAATCATTTAATGTTTTCAAATTATCTTTACGAAGTTCCAATTTTTGAGCTTTAAAAGTCTCTCCTTCTAGTCTAAAGCCTAAATAAGAATAAGGTGGGCTATGTTGAACTTTCTCAGGAGCTATTTGAAGGCCATAGTGCTGTAAATCAGCCTGCAGGGGATAATTCAATTGCTGATTAGTAGCCCTATAGGCCTTCTCCCCCATAAGCATTTTAAAACTCACTTGCAGTCCATTTCGTCTATTTCTGTCCGCAAAAATTCCACACTGCTCTCCAAATTCTGATTTCCATAGCAAATAATCTCCCCCAGAGAGGTAGGCCCTAGAGACCTGCTTCCAATCATTAGGAGGTAAATATTGACTATTTAAATTCTCAATGATGGACATAGTAAAAGGAGCAGTTGGTCCATACTGAGCACAGGCTTGCTTTAATTCTTTAATTTGTTTAAATGGCAGGGGTTCATAATACCTTCGCTGTTGAGTGTCTTCAAGGACGGGGAAAAGGATAGGAAAGCCTGCCAAGGTTTCTCCCTGTTGCCTCGCCTGGTGAATTGCAAGTTGGAGGGGGGACAGTTCGGAGGTGTTTTTTACAGATAATGCCTGTGCGGGAGCCTCAGACCCCTTTTGCATATCAGCTCTCGGTGGGTCTAATCCGGCAACAACGGACGGAGGTTGCGATGGTAACTGATCAGAGGGACATAAGGGCTGGGAAAAGAGCTTTAGGTTAAGAGTATCAAGATGTTTAGTCATAGTTGTAAGCAATTCTTTAACCTCCGAAAAAGGGGATAATTCCGCTTGTGTTTTAACAGCGGTTTTTTCAGCAGCAAATAACTCCCACGGATCTTCTGCTTGCTCAGCAGGGTCTAATTCAGAATCAGAGTCAGAGGAACTCTGTACAGGGGGTTTTTCTGCCGTATCAGAACCATGCTCCGAAGGAGGAGCAGTAGGCAAGGTGGGAGGTTTGCCAATTATATTCTTTAACGCAGTCTCCAATTTTTTGCTTTCATGTTCAGGGTCCAAACAGTCTCTGATAAGAGTCCATAATGAATAGGCATCTAATGGTGCCTTCTCAGCCCCATGTAAAGAATAATACTGCTGAATTTGCTCTCCCACCTTTTTCCAAGTTTTTATATTTACAGTCCCATCCTCAGGAAACCAAGGACAAACTTCTTCTACAAACAACAAAAAATTTTCTAATTTATGTTTAGCAACAGTAACTCCTCTCACCTTTAACATAGTCTTAAGCATAGTTACAAAAAGTTCTCTACTACTACCTTGACCCATAGTTTATACTCTCAACTAAAAACCCTCTCCGCCCTTAAAAAGTCCGTACTCACGTTTCTTGTTTTTTTTTTTTTTTCTCGGGATCCCCTCTATACTCACGATTCGGGCGGCTGTGACCGTGTAGCCTGATCGCGTCCCTGTTCGTGGCGCCACCTGCCGGTACCAGCCGGCAATGTGAACAGGTCTAGACCGCAGCAACACGGAAGCCTGAGAAAAAGGAGCTGAAAGTAAAGAATGGGGTCGAGAGGACTGAAATGCTCTTTAGGCAAGTCAGCGGTTTTATTGAGTAAAGCAGCTACCTTTATACTAGTACAAGCAGAAAACATAGTTCATAAAAAATGCCATCTGGTGTTTGTTACATCAATACAATTTTTTGTCTTAAGTGATTGCAGAAGCTTACATCTTGTT